ATCAAATAGTGATCAGGGTACGTTCTGGTATACCGGACGTACCCTGGTACTATCTAATATGCGGTACCGTACCTCGCCTACTCCACTAACGAGTCTAGGTAGTCGCCTACGCCTACTCCCTAACCCTAACCCAAACCTGAACCCTAACCCTAATCCTAACCCTAATCCTAACCCTAATATCAAATAGTGACCAGGGTAAGTTCTGGTATACCGGACCGTACCCAGGGTACGTTCCGGCAGTATACCCTGGGGGACATAGACCCTATGAGCACTACTACTAGTGCTGAGAGGGTCTTTGTCCCCAGCAGGGTTCTCCAAGAGCACTTATAGCCTGCATGGCGGCCCGCCAGGCTATCGCCGAGCCTCGCCATCCTAAAATGCACCCGCCACTCTAAATATCATAGCCGCCATGCTAAATATCTTAGCTCCCGGACACCCCTAGCACGCAAACCGTCTTCGGCGATTTGCAACTAGGACCGTAAAGGCAGCACCCGCCATGCTGTAATGAAAAAGCTTGGAGAACCCTGCCCAGGGTACTGCCGGAACGTACCCTGGGTACGGTCCGGTATACCGGAACGTACTCTGGTACTATCTAATATTATGCCGGAGGACCGTACCTCGCCTACTTCACTAACGAGTCTAGGGAGTCGCCTACGCCTACTCCCTAACCCTAACCCTAACCCTAGCCCTAACCTCAACCCTAACCATATCAGATAGTTACCAGGGTACGTTCCGGTATACCGTACCGTACCCAGGGTACGTTCCGGCAGTACCCTGGGGTACATAGACCCTATCAGCACTACTAGTACTAGATACACTGCTAAACATAAGAAGAAAATTGAAAAACAATAACAGCAAATTTAAATTCTACCCGTTGGCTACTTTGTTTGTTGTCGCTTGCAGAGCCGTCTCCACCATTCAAGCCATCTTGTGTGTTACTAGTGGAGCTATCATTGTTGCCAACTGCCATGATGATGTCATGAATGACAGGTGAAAACTTAATTAGAACTTATAATGACTTTTAATCTGCAGCTAAACATTACGCATTTGTTCGAGCCTACAGTTCCTTACGTTTCAAGAATCAAACTCATGATTTGATGTATCCCGTGTTTATGTCAATGAAATAAAGTACAATTGCAGCTTCATCTATTTAAAGCAGTTCACATGGCCCCTGCCAATCATTGTGGACAGAGTGCTCGACCAAGCTGAGAGTGCCTGAGAGCGCCTGGCAGGTCTTGTTTCTTTAACTCTGTAGTGCAGATAGAATCACAGAACGTTTCCGACAATATCAGGGTTTCTTATACATAAGAGGCACAGTGGCGCACCGCTGTTGTCAAATTTAACATCGCCGTTGTGAAAATGTTCAGAGTTTCAGGGTGGCTGAAATGCAGTCTAAGACATTCAAAATATTCAGCTTTTGCTGGGGGCTCCCCCTCTCCCTCTCTCCCCCACATCTGCCTGCAGCATCCGCATGCGTGCCTACGGCACACCTTTGAATCCATCATGGGCGTTTTATTCCCAAACTGGCCATTACCTCCTTTATCTAATTTTCCCTCAGAAGAAACCCTAAATATCCTTTAGTTTTTAACATTTAGTTCCAGCAGATGGCGCTGCAATCGCTCTTTCTTTCAGCCCAGCGATTTAGTGAGAAGAGGCAAGATTCGTTCGAGGAATCTTGCGTTGTCTTTCTCTTGCTCTCGCGTTAACACAACGTCCCTACCCCCCTCTCGCATTAATACAACGTCCCTACCCCCCTCTTGCGTTAACACAACATCCCTAGGGGCGTAGGGACGTTGTGTTAACGTGAGAGGGGGGTAGGGACGTTGCATTAACGTGAGAGAGGGGGTCTTGCGTTAACACAACGTCACTACCTCCCTCTCACGTTAACACAACGTCCCTACCCCCCTCTCGCATTAACACAACGTCTCTACCCACCTCTCGCGTTAACACAACGTCCCTACCCCCCTCTCGCGTTAACACAACGTCCCTACCCACCTCTCTCACGTTAACACAACATCCCTACCCACCTCTCGCGTTAACACAACGTCCCTACCCCCCTCTCGCGTTAACACAACGTCCCTACCCACCTCTCGCATTAACACAACATCCCTACCCCCCTCTCTCACATTAA